TCTAGTGTCTGAAGACTCCATGAAGCCATTTTCAACCAACCCTACCTTAAATACCTCTGGGTTCCTTTTACATGAAAAAAGAAATAACCCTCTATCTTACTTACAACACTACTATTTTAATTCTATTGTTCCATTCTCAGCCTGATGACTATATCTAATCCTAAGGCTTAAACCTTAAGATCAAAGATTTAAACACTACTCAGCAAAACAAGGTTGCGTGGTTTGAAGGTCACCTGTGACCACATTTAGGCATGAATGAGCCACAGTGAAATTGTGAGCCAAAAACCAACAAAATAACAATATCCCATGGCTGGGAGTTGGGGGAGGTCATGGGGTATAATTTCCAGAAACATGAAAGAAGGAGGGTTTCCTAGAAGAGGGGCCAGCTGTACCCAAGAACCCATTAAAGTGGTTAAGAAAGCCACCACGTTCCAGAAGGTGATTACTATCAGACATTGTACTAAAGGCTTTTAATGCATCATTCCCTTTTATTTCCCCAAACCCTAGAAAGTAGATGCCATTGTTAGCTCCATCTTACAGATAAGGACATTGAGTTCTCACTACCAATTTTGAGTTGTACTGTTGAAGCAAGAAGTTGCCAAATCTGCTGATTGAAGACTATTGCTTAGATTCTGCTACTTGCTGGAGTGGAAAGTTCCTGCAGGGTGCTGCTTATCCACAGCAGTAAATAGGGCTACCTTGACCCCCTTCCTGAACAATAAAGAATGCTTATGTTCTGATGGATGGGGTGACAAGTTTCCTAATATGACCTATATAAAACCCAGCCATTTTGCTTTTGGGTGCTCAGACTTTTGGAAACTATCCCACTGAGCCTGCCAGTGAGAATAAATCTCTCTCTCCATCTGATTTTTCTAGGGAATTGCCATAATATTGCTGAGGGCCTGTCTCCTTGGAACGCAGAACCCAGTGGTGACATGGACCTATCTCTAGACAGTGACAACTCAGAGTGGGCAGGGCTGGGACAAGGAAGCTGAGGGGCTAGGAGACCCCAGAGGAGGGATAGCCCAGGCTCAACCTGGGAGCCTAAGAAGGCTTCCTGGAGGAGGAGATGGCTCAGTCTTGACCTGAGTGTGCATGGCATTAGCCAGGAGAAGAAGAAAAGAAAGGCTGAGAAAACACGTTTTGTTTGAAAGGACTACAAGGATTCTTGTCTTACTGGTAGAAAGTGAAAGAGAGAGTGAATTCGAGGTAATCAGGGGCCAAGTTCACGTCAGGACTTTGTTCTGTACACCACAAGGAGCTGCCTCAGGTTAATCATCAATGGATAGAATTGGAAGGAGGGGGGCAGCTTTCATTTGTCTTGGGTCCTGACAGGCTTCTAGAATTTGTCACAAAGAAAGGAAGGGTACAGCCTTTGTGAGGTTACTTCACCTTGTAGCATGGGGCTGGGAGGGGGGGTTAGTAGGAGAGCAAGGACCCATTCTAGCAGCTAGCCAGTAATGGGGATGTTGGGGGTCCAGGGAAGGTGAAGTTTTTTTTTCCAATTTTTTGCAAATTAGAGCCAGCACCAACACCCCCTTCTCTGTTTATCCTCATGATCGCACCACAGAGAGGTCACAACAGGACTTGACACCACTATTTTACATGAGACATAGCTGCAAGGAAGCCTTGCCCTACTTATAACTCTCTGTGGCTCTTGGTTACTAATCCAGTGGTTGCTGATCAGGGGTGGCCTCCCAAGCCCAGGACATGGATAATAATTGCTGATAAATGACATTTTTAGTCATATGACTTATTGCCATTTAACCATCACCCATATTTTTATGGTTCTTTACAAGTGAGAAAAATGAGGCACGAACATTAATAAAAACTTGCTGTTAATTGGTGAACTTGAAATTTGCATTAAGGGAGTCTCATGTGGAGGTTCCGCTGCCACCCAATCCTTCCTGATCCTCCTCTTCCTGTGCTTCCCCCCTCTCCTTTCTTCTCTCTCCCCTCACAGATTCATTGTGTTTGGTTCAGCAAACTCGCCTGTAGGAAGTAGAGAACTGACAGTGTCATGAAAGCGGGAAATGGCGCTGACGGTGACTCAGGACTGCTCGTCTAAACAGCGTAAAGGGCTGGAACATTGAGAAGCCCAGCTGCTTCCAACAGGTTCAGAATTAATGAGAGGTTCATGTATGTTTGAAAGAATCAATGAGCAAATGAGCAAATGAACGAAGCTAGGCACTTATCTGGACAGAACACCAAGACTTGTGACTCCAAATAAGGCAGAACAATGCTTCTGTTTATTTTTTTCCATGGGAGTAGGGAGAATAAGGAAATGTATTCATCTTTTCTTTATTAGATAAGCTTCTGGGTGATTCTTTGGGGTGGGGAGGTTGGAAGACCATGGCATCCACGCAGTGAATGCCTAGGAACCCTAAGGGGCCACTATCCGTTCACGAATTCACTCTTTCAATAGCTATTTCAGCTCTTGAGTGGAGGAAACTGTAGAACTGGCTCCAAAGGGAGCCAGGGAATTAGAGTTTTGGGAGTTTAGAATCTTGGCAGGGAGACACACAAAAGCAAGCAGGTATGTTCAACCCACTTTGCCCTGCCTTCCAAACCATTATTCCTGCCTTATCCTATGTTACTCAGTACCCTCCTTCTCCCCTCAGAACCTAGAAGTCATTGGTGAGAAGGACAGATTTCTCTCATGCCACACATCCAATCTGTCAGCCACACCTGGGCGTCAACCTTCAAAATACTTTCAAATCCAAGCATGTCTCCTTCCTCTCCCCTGCCAGAGGAAGGTGCCTCTGTCACCTCCTGCCCAAAGGTGTCCCTTACTTTCCCAGTGGGCTCCCAACCTCAACCCTCACCCTTTCTAGAGCTTGTTCCACATGCAGTAAACAAAGGGATCCTGTCAAATCAAATCCAATAACATTCTTAGCTCAAAACTCTGCCAAGTCTTCCCATCTCTGTACAAGTATCTAACAGTGATTTACAAAGTCCAGTAATGTAATCACATGATGTGTTGGTCAAGGAAGGGCCTCATGTGCAACGGTGGTCCCAGTAGACTGTGCCATCTAGCCTAGGTCGAAATCGCCTACTGCACATTTCTCAGACTGTATTCCTGTGGCTAAGTGACACAGGACTGCCATTGACCTCTTCAGGCCCCTCTGAGCTATTCCTTATTCTTGACAGAACTTTCTACTCTAGCCATACTCAGCCTTTTGCTGGTCATCCAGTCTTCAAGCAGTTTTCTACCTCAGGACCTTCCCAATTGCTGTTTTCTGCCTCAGGGTCTTTGGACTTGCTGTTCCCTGTGCCTGAAATACATATCCCCAGACATCTGCAGAGTCTACGTCATTAGGTTTCTGATTAAACTCACCACCTCAGAGATGTTCTTTTCTATCAGGTAACCGCCACTAGATTGTCCGACAGACAGAATACCATCTGCATTCCTGGTACTGCTGAGGAGTCAGCTGTGCAGGAGGCAACAGGCAGAATATGGGGAGTGAGGGGGGCTCCAAATCTGATCCAAACACTAATGGGGAGGGGGGGATTGCCTCTAACCATCCCGAGAGGAGATTGCTATAATCACCCTGGTGTGGGAAGCCTTAGGAGGGGGAAACCCCAGAAGATGATAGTGTGTCACAGCAGCAGCCAGTTTCCTGATTGAGATAACTCAGCAGCCCAAAGTAGGGATACCAGAAAATTCAAAGATTTTCCAGAAGCCAAATGCCATGTTTCCATTCCAAAAAACTTACCTATAGGGGGTCTCCCTGATGGCCGAAGAGTTGAGTCTCAGCACTTACCACCACTGTAGCCTGAGTTCAATCCTGGCCAGGGAGTGACCCACATATAGTGCAGCAGACCTCTCTTGACCCCAGGCTCCTTCTGTCACAGTGTAATTCAGTATGTCTGCCGGTTCAGCTCCCCACTTTGTCTCTGGTGAATCTTCTGACACACACTCCTCCCTCACATCTGACCTATACCCCATTAAATTATAAAATTTATTTTAAAATAAATTTTTAAAGATTACCTATATACTTCAGCATGGACAGATCTGCTGTTTTGTTCAAGGCAAAGTGAGGGATAGAACACTCCAAAGTGGCCACCGTCAAAAGGAGGAATTTTCTAGGAAGATAAATGGCTGTCAAGAACAAGGATCAGCGCTGTTAGTGGACCTGGTGGGGACCATGGCCAGGATGGACACCACTGGGAACAAAGATGTCTCCCAGGTTCTGTCTGAGCATGTGACAGGTCTCTGTTGCCTCTCAGTTCTCTCATGTCACTCAGTCCTTGAGCCCGGTTCACGTCTCTGGTTCTCAGCTTCTGTCTCTATATTTCTGTTTCTCTTCATCCTCCCCTCCCTCTTTCTATCCCTTCCTCCCTCACCCTTCTATGTGTTCTTGAACATTATCACCTCCAGACACCACCTGTATATTAAATTGCTAAGGGTGTGTTTTTCTCCAGCAGAAGGTGAGCTTTTACGAATGCAGGGGGGTTTGTCTGTATTATTTTCTTCAGCGTTCCCAGCGCCTAGAACAACGCATGACTCAGTAATTATGTTAAACCGACAATAAATGAAACATCCTTATCAACGTTAGTATTTGATAACTGTAAAGTCACCAATAGCAGTCACTGTTATCAGTACTATATGCTGAGTGCAAAGTTTATAACAAGATTCGGACTAAGAAGTTGCATCAATCTTAGAAACCCTCGGGCGAGGCCATTAACATGCCCATTGCTCCGATAAGGAAACTGAGACCCCACGAAGAGAAGCAATTTGCTCACAGGAGCCAAGTCTCTGGTTCCAAACCTGGTGCTTACTCAGAGTAGAAGGACAGACACTGGGTAAGAACGGCAGGGTCTGATTCTACTAACAGATAACAGATCGAGTCTCAGTTTAGTCACTGGCTTTGGGATTTGTTTAGTCTCTTCCCATCTGTTTCCACAGTCAGGGGCGCCGGCGCCGCACACCGGTAGCCCAGCTCCCCTGTGCCTCTGGCTCTGGAAGTGAAAGACTGGAACTTCCCGTTCCCGCCCTCTGGCTGTGACGTCCCGGGTATTCAGGACCGACCCGGACCCAGCTCAGAAGTCCTGACCAGTGGTGAGAGCGCGGTGGGAAGAACGAGTCACGGAGGAGCGGCTGGCGAACCAAGCCCAGCCCGGAGGGAACCATGGTCTCCGCGCGGCCGCCGCTGCTGCTGTGGCTGCTGTGTCTGTCCTTGGAGCTCACAGGCGCGGGTGAGTTGACCGCGGGCTGTTCAGCCGCCCTGCCCCTCCCTGCCCCTCGGTCGGGTCACTGATTCCTTGATTCCTGGGTTCCCGAAGGCTGAGTGCGTGGCCCTTTGCCACCCATTCCCCTCAACCGAGGGATGGGGAAATAAGGGTCCAGGCAAGACCCTCTTATCAGTATCCCCAAAAGCCGCTTGACTCCAGTGGCTTAGGGAGATTTCCAAGGCATGAGTGAGAGCATGAGGGGGGCGGGAAACCCCAGAGGGTGACTCACTAAAGAACACCTCACTCCACTGCTGCTGGCCACACCCTTTCTCCTCAGACCCCACAAGCCTAGGGAACACAAGTGAGGCTGCCCAGCTGGGAGGGGTAGTGGTCCATCACCTCCTTCCATCTCTGATCCCCAGTGTCTGCCTCTAAGGGTGGCTCATGCATTCATCCTACACACTGTGTGTACTCTAGGGGACAAGTATTGGGAACAGCTCTAAAATTCTGCCAGCTAGAGGATTACAACAGCTTTCAACATGTAATGCCTGTGTGAGTTCAGGGAAGCTATCTGAGTAATTTTGAAATAATCAGGCTGACCTATACATTTTTTTTTTTTTGGAGGCTATAGATATTTCATTAGCTTGATAGCGGTAACCATGTAACTAGGTATGTATGGAGCAAATCATGAGCTATATATATATATATATATATATATATATATATATATATATTGCACTTTCACTTTTCCTTGTTCTTTCTTTTGTTTGTTCTCTGTACTTCATGACCTCTGACACACAACAGCTATCTCTTTTTTTTTTTCTCTCTCCACCAACCCACCTGTATACACACACCTAGGACTTCCTCCCTCAACCCCTGTTATATAATTAAGAAAGTAGTTGAACACAAAGGGATTACAATTGAGATTTAAAAAAATGTACAAAATGATGTAAAAATAAACTGTTATATTATAAAAAAGAAAGAAAGTAGTTGAGAATATACATCATAATCTGGGTCCACTCCCCCTCAAGGTTTATGTCATCAGAGGCAGGAAGAGGGGAGTTTTAGAAGATAAAGCTAGGAAGTGGAGTATCTGAGTTTAAGACCATCTGTTTAAAATGTGTGTGCTGGTTACAGGTGCATCTTCCAGAAGAATGTTGCGGGGTGGGGCCTTTGTTGCAATCAACAGAGAAGTCTTTCTTAATCACTGGGAGGAGAGGTCAGGAGGCCCATGTTCCTCACTGTCATCCATGAGGAGAAAGTCTCTGGGCATTCTTTTGTGAAGAGTTCATTTAGGCTGGTTGCATTCCACCTGTGATGGACAGTCAGAGAGAACATGTTTGATTCAAAGTAGGTTCCAGAGCTCCCTTTGTGAGGAAGGATGCTGAACAAGGGCAGATGTGTGGGTAGAACAATAATGGTGGGTGAATAATAACATTGAGTATGGTCTCAAGGAAGTTGGAGTACCTCATCTCATCACTTCCCAAAGGAGGATTCTCCAAATATGGGCTGCTTCTTTAACAAAGAGGAAACCCAGACTTGAAGAGTTCCAAGTCCCAGTCTAAAACCTCTTAAGGAGACTGCTAGCGTGGCTCCTACTGTGACCCACTTACTGACAAGACGTAGGAGCGCAGTGAGGGCAGTGACTTGCGCAGGCCCCAGGAAGAGGTAGCAGAGACAGAGGAACTGAACAGAAGAAGCTTTCAAGGCCCTCTCCCCACCCACCCACACACCCCAGGACGGGAGCACAGGGTGGAACAGGCCGGGGTCTGAGCATAGGCTCCGTTGCTCACCTGCTGAGTCCTTAGGCCAGGGCTTGGCCTGACAAGGTCACGTGCCCTACAGAGCAGAGGGTATGAAAATACTAGAACGTATGTCATGAGCCACTGCAGAGGGTTGGAAGCAGCCACGTCAAGGTGTTTGATAGACGCTAAATCACAGAGAAAGGCCATTTCATCCTCCTGGGGGCGAGAGAGGAGAATTTGCCCTGTAGTGGAGAAAGCCATCAGAGGACATGTGCTGGTCCAGTGCTGTATAGCAAGGCAGTAGGGGGCCAGAGTTCCAGCCTGATGAGTCTCCCCACCATCCCACAATTCCTTGTGTCCAAACGGTGCCCTTCTTCCAAAAGGTACCCTCCCAGCACCCTCGTCCTTGGCCTCCCAGCTCCCTCCTCCTCGCAGTAATAACAGTGGTAATAAATATGTCTTGATCCCTTTGACACAGATTTCGCCCTTGAGTCCTTGCAACAACCACGCTAAGATACAATCACCCGTTTAGATTATGAAACTGCAGCCTAGAAGAGCGAAAACACCCACACAAAGTCCATAACTAGTGAGTGGCAGGACTGGGGTTCAAAGAACTCCTCCCACCTTCTGCATTTCCATTATTATTAATAAGAATACATACCATTGTATTTATTAACATCAATAGAGCCAGGACAGTGTTCAGGTTTACTGAGGGCACAGGGGTCCCTGTGGGAGCCCCAAGTGCCCGGGGATCTGGTCTGGAATTAGCCAGCAGGGGCCATAGTCCAAGGGTGGGCAGGAAGGGTCCACAACCTGGATTCACTGGAAATGTGACTCTCAGCACCGCCCAGCCCAAAGCCTTTACGCCTGCCATGGCCATGGAGGAGGGGTGGTTTCAGGGGCTAGCCTCCTTGCCAGTGTGGCCCCAGAACTCAGCATTTTCCCACGTTTCCCACTTGAGGGAGGGCTGATGTTAGTCCTTCCCCAGAGAGGTCACCTTCTCCACAAAGTACACTTCCTGTCTCACGCAGGGCACTCGGGCTTGGCGGCGCTGTGTCTGGATCCAGTGCAGGCCCTGGGCTGAGCCAAGGGCCAACGTGGGACTCTGAACTTCATAGGTTCTGAGACCTAGAGTCCCATTTTCCCACCTCTAAATCCCAGGATGTGCTGACCACTGACAGAGCCCTGCTATTAATGACAACGTCTTGGTGGAGTCTTAAAACTGATGACCCTGGAGTAATGAAAAATCTGGCATTAGATAGAGTGACAGGGTCCTCCCTGGTGGCATAGTGGGTTAGAGCACAGCACTATGAAGCTATCACAGCCACTGTAGCATGAGTTCAATCTCCGGACAGGGAGGTGACCCACATGGCGAGGCAGACCTCTCCTGTCTCACCCACTGCTCCCTTCAACAGTGTACTTTGTCGACCTGCCTATTCTGCTCCCCACTCTGTCTCTGGTGAATCCTCTCACCTCCCACACCTCTGGCCTGTACCCCAGTTCTATATGCATAAATAAATAAATCTTTTGAAAAAAGATAAAGCCACAAAATTTATCAGTTTTGAAAACTGATGATGCTGCTGACTTTGAGGAAATATGGCAATAAAAAGCAGAAAATATGGTGCTAAATCCCAGAGAAGCAGTGAGGCCATAGTTGCTGAGCAGCCAGGCCCCTCACCCTGGCCAGGATAACCCTACCCTTACCCCATAATGGACCCCCAAGGTCCCTGGCACAGCAGGTGCTGACCTAGGTGAGGGGCCACTCCCCGAGCCAGAGCCCCAGGGTCTGACACCCCACCCCAACCCTGTTTCGCCTCAGGGACCCGGAGGGTTATAGTGCTGGCGCCCAACGAGGTACGTGGCTTCCTGGACCAGACAGTGACACTGCCATGCAACCTGCAGCCTCTGGAGCCCGGCGTGCAGGTGACGCAGGTGACCTGGATGCGGCGAGAACCATCCGGGAATGCGCACAGTGTGGCAGTCTTCCATCCCACCCAGGGCCCCAGCTTCCCACACCCCGAGCGTTTGCAGTTCGCCAAAGCCAAGACAGGTGTGGAGCTGCAGGACGCATCGCTGATGGTGAGTGGCTTGCGTGCAGAAGACGAAGCCAACTACACCTGCGAGTTCGCCACGTTCCCACAGGGCAGCGGGAGCGCCCAGACCTGGCTCCGAGTGTTCGGTGAGCAGGGGTTGGTGTGGGGTGCTGGGAAGAGATAAAAGGGAGGTAAAGAAAGAGTAGGTAGGACCTGGGAGGGAGTGAGCAGAAATTTTATGGGAACTATAGAAGAGGTTTGTGGTGGGGAGGGGATGGTTACAGGTGGGAATTCTTGAGGACTAGGAAAGAGTAGTTGACCCTGAGTGGCAGGGTAAGAAGTTGGAGAAGGAGCAGAACCTGGGTGGGGCGGAGCAGGGAGGAGTACTGGGCGGAGCCCAGGAAGCTGACTCTCTGGACCCTCCTTCCGCCTGGGGAGAATAGAATTGACCAGAAAGCTGCCCTGAGGTGGAGGTATATCCAGGCCAGGGCTTAGAACAAAGGAAGGCAGGCTCATGATGCCTCAGTTATGGACATTCCCCTTGGTGAGGAAGGGGAGCAGACCAAAGGAGAGAGATTCTAATACCCAGGAGAGGCCGACTTCCCCCCAGCAGGACCCAAATGGGCAGTGGGCTCCTCCCCCTGCCCCCTCAGGGAATCCAGGATTACTTTTCATGAGTATCCGATGAAGCTAGGAACTTAAGAGGGCTCTGTACCTCAGTTTCCCCATGTGTGAGAGGGAGATGGCAATGAAGATATGTAAGAACAGGCATTAACTTTTTACATATGTGCCAGGAACTGTTCCAGGCCTTTGAATGAGTAGACGGGTAGACAGTGTAGATGGGATAGAAAAGGACGCATACCAGTGTGGACAGTGGTCACAGGCAACAGTGTAGACAACATTGGAACTGTGACAACTGGTGGCATACATGACTGGTGTAGACAGAGGGACAGGGTGTGTTTCTGGGGAGCCAGTTTAGCCAATGTAACTCACTGAAAGTAAACTGCTGGCAGCCTGCACCCAGAGGCAGTTCTGGTTATTCCAGGAAACCTGGGACTTTGAGACTGAGCACTTAGGGTATAGGTGATGATGGAGAAGGAAAGGTTCCTCAGATTTGGGAAGCACCGGGTGGTGAGTGAGAGAGGGTTTTAGTCAGACAGCTGTCATTTACAATATGACCTTGAGCTAGTCACTTCGCTCTCAGTCACCAGGGCAGTTTCGGTCACTCAGCCATCACTTCCTTCATGAAGCCCTTCTGGTGCCCTCATTTAAATTCAGGTGCCCCTCCTGGGCTCCCTCATCCAGCCTTACCCACTATGGGTCCTCACTGTCAAGGGAAGTCTCTCTTTGTCTTGGACTATATGCCCCAGGAGAGCAGAGTCTTATTCATAACTAGGTCCCCTCACAGAGCCAGGCAGTGCACTCAATGCCCAGGGCAATCATATTTATCAAGCACTTACTATGTGCTCAGTACCATTTTAAGACTGGTAGGTACTGGTATCTACCTATTCTCATTGCCAATGGTCCTGTCATTATCTCTAGTTGACAGACAAGGAAATGGAGGCAAAGCTGTGCCCAAGGCCACCAGTTGCTGAGATGTTTGTTGAATGACCATAGGTAAAGAACGACCAATACCCCTTTTGCTTCTCTCCCCAGCTGAGCCTCAGAACCAGGTTGAGATCCAGGAGGATCTGCTGGGCACAGAGCCTGTGGCCAAGGCCCGCTGTGTCTCCACGGGGGGTCGCCCACCCGCCCGAATCTCCTGGTCCTCCTCACTTCAGGACAGAAATGTCACCATGACCCAGACACCAGGTCCCCTACCCGGCACATTCAACGTCACCAGCATCTTTAACTTTATACCCTCAAGCCTGCTATATGGCCAGAATGTCACCTGCAGAGTGGAGCACGAGACCTTCAAGGAGCCCGTCCTGCTGAAGATGACCCTCGCTGTGCGCTGTGAGTGTGTCAGATGACCTCCACCCCTCATGTTGTCTAGACTGACTCCCTTGAACACTTTACATGGGCACCTTCATTTCTACCCTGTGTATGCTGCTCCCCTAGAGAACTATCTGTATTTTTCTCCCAATGCAGAACATACTTCCCTCTGATAATCATCTAGGGACTTTCTTCCTCCCTACAAAGGCTACACTGGTTTGCCTGTGTTCTATCTACACCATCTACTCTGGTCCTGTGATACTGCATCACCTCCACTCACTCCCCCAAGATCCTGACATCCATAGCACAGCCTTACCTCACTAAACAATGGGGACATGTTCTGAGAAATGTGTCATTAGGCTATTTCATCGTTGTAAGAACATCATAGAGTGTAATTACACACACCTCAGTAGTAAAGCCATTCCACACCTGGGCAGGATGGTACAGCCTGTGGGGATCCGTATGGTTCCATCCATTATTGACTGTAAGGTGTCATCAGGTGAGACAAGATTGAACTATCATTAAATGAGCCATAACTGCATTATCGTTAAGTGAGGCGTGACCATATTGTCTATACCACAACCCCAGATGCAACCCCCAGACCAGTTTGACAGAAGGAGGCCAGTTACACTGTGATTTAAACTTGTCTTGTAGCCACCCAATTAAAAATATAAAGAGATGAAATTGATTTTCATCACTGATTTTTTTTCTTACCCCAGTGGACCTCAATACTACCAGTACAACATGGAATCAGATCTAAAAAATATCAGTGAAGTCTTCCACATTCTTTTGCCCTGCAAGTCTTCCTGGTCTAATGTGTGTTTAGGACCCATTGTGTTCTATAGTCATGGTGGCTGCCATACTGGACAACCGAGATCTAAACTAGGCTCCCCCATGGTCTACAGTGGCTCATAAAAATTCTCTACACGTACATATACATACACACCACTTGTCTTAATTTCATCATTTTCATCCAAGTTTGTTTTGCCCCACCACCACTTCCCTTGGGAACTAACTCTTCTACATGGACATCTGCCCTGCCAACACCCTGTGTACACAAAGCTCATCAGAAATATCTACACAGGCTCTCCTGGAAGCTATTGTCTTCTGGTCATGGTCTATACTAAATTCTCCACTCTGAGGGTTGCTACACTATTCCCTCTGGCACTGTCTACACTGGATGCCTACAATATTGCCATTTGGTCTGAGAGAGGAAGGGAACTACCCTGATGCTCCTTCTCTCCACTCTCCACTGCCCTCCACCCCACAAACACCAAAAAAAAACCTCTCTCATGGGCCTTCCCTTGAAACTCTGGAAATTATTCCCTGTTAATCTCATCTAGAAGGGATAAGTAGCAATCAAAGCAGGTCCTCAGGACTCTTTCTTGTAGTACTTGTCAGCACTTTGAATATGGTCCTGTGTGTGGTGAGTCCCAGAAGCCTCTGCTCACAGGGCATTCAAGGCAGAAGCTTGTGGCTGCTCAGGAAAGCCAGCAGAGAGGCAGGTCCTAAGAATCTCTCTGCCCATCTCCCTGATCCCCATGGACCTGTAGACTTCTGTCCTCTGAGGAACCTGTTGCCTCAGATTCCTCACAGGCCTCTTCAACTCCGGCTGCTTGTAAGGTCATGTTGTGACATGAATCCCACCTATCTCTAGGCCCCCCTGAAGGCGCCCTGACTCTCAGCCTGTGTGTCTGTGTCCCCCAGACCCTCCTGAAGTCTCTATCTCTGGCTATGATGACAACTGGTACCTTGGCCGAAATGAGGTCACGCTGAACTGTGATGTTCGGAGCAACCCCGAACCCACAAACTATGTCTGGAGCACGTGAGTCCTTGCGAGGGTGGGGGCTGGACTCCTGGGTCTGAGGGAGAAGGAGCTGGGGCTAAGGAGGAGGGAGACACAGAAAGGACAAAGAGAAAGAAGTTGACTTTTGTTCCCCATTAAAACTGTCTTGGGTGCACAGAATTTTTGAGCTGGCGTCTCCCAAGCACAGTTACACCTGCCCTTTCCTGTGTGTCCAGTACTTGCCCTCATCACGTGACACACCCCACTCCAGACAGGGTCTATACTATCTCCAGCCCAGTTTAAAGATCAGGAGGGGCCCCAATAGCTGCTGTCATTTCATGAGTCCCACAACCATAAAGGTGCAGATTCAGCCCTCAAATCAGGCACCAAACCTGATCCTCTTAACCTCCCAGCTGTGCCACCTTGTGGAACCTGCTCAGGTGTCTCTGACAAAGTAAGGATTGTCCCTGTTCTCTAAAAGATGAGGTTCAGAACAATGAGAAAGTGTCCTCAAATTCACTCCATGGTGGGGAGCAAAAAGCAAAGGAATATATTTTCCCATATTGTTATTGGACCTTTGTCTTTATTTCAGAGATAGTTTATGACTACTGTAGAAATGGCAGACAATACAATTCTCAGCAAAAAAAAGACAGTGGCATCTATTGTCATGTACCTAACCACCTCCATAAATAGCCACTGTTACCTTTTGTTATATAACCTTCTTGCCTCTTGATCAAAACAAAAACTGTGCTGTGTGTAGTGTCAAATTTTAAAAATTTTCTTCTGTGTCACCAACACCTCTCCTCGTCAAAGCACATAAGTCTCTATGCCCATTGGTCTTCCCCCAATATTGTATTAGAACATTCACACAGAGAGAAAAGTTGAAAGAATTTTCCAGTAAACACTCAGAAACCCACCACATGGACTTGCTCACTAACGTTTTACTGTTCTTCCTTTTTGTCTTGGTTCTGTCCTTCTTTTAGCTCATATGCAATTCAAAGTACCCACCGCTTCCTTTTTAATGCTACTGAGAGTTCCCAGGCACATGCCACCGACTACTTAACCAATCCTGAATGTGGGGTTCAGAGATCATTCCCCACTTCCACTTGAGCAACAGGTCTTTGTGGGAAGCATCACCGCCTGTCCATCTCTGTGTATAAACCCTGTGGTTTGTCAGTTGCTGGTGCCTCAAAGTGCTTAAGCCACACACCACTGGGTCTTCATCTCAGCTCTGTAGTGTGCCCCAAACCCCATGCTTCCATATCCTTCATCCATAAACCAACATTTGAGTGCCAGATGCTATTGACTGGCACACTTGGGTAAAAAGAAAAACCAGACCAAGTTCTTCCTAGAGTTTGCCTTCTAGCCGGAGAGAGAAACATTGAATAAGATAAGGTTGGGAAGCACGTAGCATGCCAGCTGCTGCTAAACACCATGGAAAAGCTAAAATATGGGAGGGGCCATTACCATGGAAATAGGGTGGCAAAGGAAGGTGTCCCTAAGGCAACATCTGAACAGGAACCTGAAGGAAGTGAAAGAGGAGCTGGGAAGAGCATTCCAGGCATAGGGAACAGCATTTCAAGTTTAGGGAACAACATATGCGAAGACCCTGAGGAGGGAGTGTAACTGGAGTGTTTGAGGCCAATAAGGCGGCCTCTGTGAATAAAGAGTCAGGAGCAAGGGAGAAAGAAACAGATAACATGGTCAGAACATGTGGGGGCAGCTGCTGTAGGCTGTGTGCCTGTTGTAAGGATTTTGACTGTGGCTTTGTATAAGGTGAGGGGAGAGCCCTGGAAGGCACTGAGCGGAGGAGAGACATGAATTGACTAGGTTCTAGCAAGATCTCCCAGGCTGGTGGGTGGGGACAGTGTGGGCTGGGAATGAGAGGGGAGCCTGGTGAGAAAGTGATCACAGTGACCTTGGAGCAGTGGGGGTGGTGGGGGAGGGGGTCAGACTAAGTGGTGGCTTCAGGGCCTGAAGGACTCATGGGTGTTGAATAGATTCTGAAGGTGGGGTCGACAGGATCTTCTAGGTCAGATGTGGGTCTGATAGGATGACTTGAGGAGACTCCAGAGTTGCTCTTAACTTGTCACACAGATACCATGAGAGGGCTGTGTCCCCTGATGACCTGTCATCTGGCACCTCCAGCAGAGGCCACTTCCTCACCCATCTCTCTCTCCCCCAGGACCACAGGTTCTCTGCCTCCTTCTGCTGTGACCCAGGGCAGCAGGCTTCTGGTCCACACTGTGGATGAATCAATCAACACGACTTTCATCTGCCACGTCACCAATGACTTAGGGACTAGGCAGGCAGAATTGACTGTTCTGCTCAAAGGTGAGGAGCCCCTCAGTGAGGAGAGGGACCAGAGGAGGAGGTCCCAGTAGTATTTTGTCTGAGGGAAGGATTTAGGGGCAATACTGGTTAGCTGAGTGCTTCAGCCACAAGAATGTTCTCTGACTCCATCCTCCCCTTAGCCTTCTCAGGAAAGGACTAATGGAGTCAGATTTGCACCCCCCGCACCCCCTGTTAATTCAGCATCTCTATGGTTGTCTGGATATACCCTCTCTGCAAACCCAGACTGGGGTGGTTTTGAGATGCCTCTTTCCCAGGAACCCAGCAAGTCTGTTCCAAGTACAAGACTATCAGTTTCAATTGATGGAATCACAGAAACTTTTTAAAGTCATCCCATCAAAAAATGGGCCTATATTGAAAATGCACCTTCAGTTATAGCTAGATCCAGATGCTCAAATTGTGTATCCCAGGAACTTTTCCTTACATCTCTTGTTTCTGGTTTTCTCTGTGCTGGCTCTCTTCTTAAGAAGACTCTCTTCTTGGGGAGGCAAGAAGTCCCACAGCAGCTCCAGGCTCAAGTGCAGCACTTCAGTAGTCTCAGAGGAAAGAATATACCTCTTTCAGTTCAAACCAAAGTCTAGGCCTGCCTCTCATCGCTCACTCCCAGCCCAAGAACCGATCATAGCTGCCAGAAAGAGCAGAATGCTCTGAATGCTGGTCTGGGTCAAAGTCGTAACCTAGGAACGAGAGGGTGTGGTGAAGTCCACTTGAACTTTGTAGAATGAGGCAGGGAGCCAGCGGTAGAATACAGGATAATGTTTGCTAGGTAGATGAAAACCCCTAAATCCCTGTTTCCCTCTCTTCCAGATGAACCTCCTGGGGAGTCCAAAACAGGATCGTTCACTGTGATCATCTCGATTGTTGGGGTGCTCATAGTGGCTCTGTGTCTGGCAGTGATTGCTTTCTGGAAGTTCAGAAAATCCCGTGAGTCTCGTCTTTGGCACACTCTTCCCTTGTCTGCCGTGAACTAAGCCTCACCATAGCCACTACGACAAACACCCACTATGCTGGGCTCCCTGCTGAGTGGTCTATGAGGCAGCCTCTCCCGGAATCCTCACCCCAGAACTTTGAGGTTCCCTCATTTTATAGGTCAAGGACACTTACAGAATAAGGCCATCGATTCACTTTACAAATCTCCAGGGGTCGGGGCCCATCCTATCCTCAAAGTCCACAATAAAGACTTTGGTTTTAATCCAGGGGACAGGAGGGCCCTAGGGAACAGAATACCATGCACCCTCCAGCCTAGTCACCGGAGTCCCAGCCCCTGGCCCTCAGCGGGCCTTACTAAGGCCCTCTGCTCTCAGGCTCTGCATGGCTGTCCTCTGTGGTGCCTCCTCTCTATGGCTCTTTCTGGGGAAATCCCGTGGCCATTTCTATAATCCATACAGTGCATTCACAGCCACCTGGCCTGCTCAAACCTCCCTGCGAACTGAGTCCTGCTGTGAGCTACATTTCAGAGCAGGAAATGTGCACACAGAGAGGAAAGTC